ACATCATAATTGGAAAGAAAATGATATTCTGCATTTTTTATTAAGCGCTGCTTAATACGATAGTATGATAACATTACCGGATATATAAAGGGTGTTACGGTTCTCGGGTAAAAAAAAATTCTCTTCTACCAAATTTCCTAAATTATGTCCTTTTAGCTGCTTATATCTAATACTGCGAAGAGTATACAATTAAAATATTAAAGTTATACTTTTTTCTTTCTTCAGAAACTATCAACTGACGTAGAAAGTGAAAAAAAAGTATAACTTTAAATTATAACTATGTACTTTCTAAAATACATAATTATAAAGAGATAAAAGTACATATAACTTAGGTCATTTAAAAGAACAAATCATCTTCCCGTTTTGGATTGTCAATTTTTTGTTTAACTAAAATGACGTACGTTCCAATTAGAAAGTTTTATTTTTAAGAGCTTATCGGAGAATGAAACTAGTGAAAGCACTTGAATCTTCCTAATTGGATTTCAACACAAATGGCACGCGGAAAAAAGGATATCAGGACAAATGAGACGGCAAATTAATTTAATGAACTGTAAGAGGACTGTGAGAGTCAGACATTCTTGTCATGATGCAGAAAGACCAAATGAAAGCAACAGGACAACTGGGTCAAAATATGCATAAGTTGGCAAATTAAATTGATTGATATTTGTCATTTACACATTTACTTATTCCACAAACAAAGAAAATATTTATATTCTGTTTTATTAAAGAGAAAATATGGTTTTAATATTAACTGAATTCATTATTATTCATTTTTAAATAATTGACTTATATGAAAATCATGTAATGATATTTAATGATTCAAAAGATTAAAAATAAAATTAAAAATACACCACATAAAATAATTAAATATTATTTTTAATCAATAATTGATAATAAGTTATGCCATTTTATTTACAAATTGACATGTAATAAAAAAGTTACATATTCAATTGATACATAATTTGTAAATATATAAACTACATTTAATTAAAAAAAATTTTATTTCAGAATCATCATTTTATTTTGTATGTATCCTTATAGTGTTTTTTCTTCCTTGATTGCTACAAATATTACAATCAAGGACATTTTGTTTTCTTTGTGCAGAAGTGATTTATCATTAAGGGAAAGATATTTATACACAAAAAATTCTAAATCATTTCTAAAATAACAAAATAAGAAAAGAAAATAATGTCATATATAATATATTTTTTTCTTTTTCAAAAAAATAAATAAATAAACAGTTGGAATATTCTTAATTAATTGGATTTGAACACAAATTAAATGGTAACCCCAAAAAAGGGTTTTAACTTTCAACACAAATGAGACGGAAAATCAATTTAATGAACTGTATAAGAAGAGTACTGGAAGAAATTGTTGTCATGAATAAAAACAAGAGCAAAAATGGATGCACATGGATGAACGTACCAAATGAAACAAACACAACAACACCCTCATTTGTGAAACCTATTCAGTGGCTTGATTGTCGGATAGATGGATGGAGTTCCATTGATTAATGGTTTGTCATTTATCGTAATTAACCCAGCGGGCACGCTGGGACATACACAATTCCAAAATTTGCATGCAATTAAGAGAAACATGAATTAATCTCCAGTACTTGTATTTATACCTGCTATGAATCCTCACTTCTTCACAGTTAACCATTCAGTTAAAGACATTGCTATAGCTAGCTAGATTGAGTAGTAATATACTACTGTGCTGTGTGCTAGCAATGGCTTTAACTCTAGACAGAAAATCTATTGTTACCATTTTCATCCTTTTGTGGAGTTGCGCATCTCGTGCTACGTCCCGAACATTCCATGAATCTTCCATTATTGCCAAACAACATGAAGAGTGGATGGCCTTGCATGGCCGTGCCTATGCCGACAATGAAGAGAAAATCAGACGCCAACAAATATTCAAGGACAACTTGGAGTTCATAGAGAAACACAACAATGAAGGAAACAAGAGCTACAGGTTAAGCCTTAACGGTTATGCTGACTTAACTGATGAAGAATTCCTTGCGTCTCACACAGGGAATCTCGTCATGCCACCAGCAGGGTCATCCAAGATTAACAACAATTTTAGGTACAAAAATGTGAATGTCAGTGACATTGAGCCAAGCTTGGATTGGAGAGAGAAAGGGGCAGTCAATAAAATAAAGAACCAAGGCCAATGCGGTAATTAACTAGTTTAATATATACAAATATATATATATATATATATATTGTTTTACAAACTTTTTGACTAAGCATTACAATTAATATTTCCTAGCTAGCTAGCTAGCATGCAGGTACGTTGGTCATGCATGCATGCATGTTTGATATATATATATATATATATATATAATTTGTTAATATATCTGAGTGTGCATGCATGCAGGGAGTTGCTGGGCATTTTCTAGTGTGGCAGCTATTGAAGGTATTACCCAAATCAAAACGGGCAAGTTGATGTCATTGTCAGAGCAACAATTGGTAGACTGTGCCATCCCTGATGGTAATGGCTGCGGCGGATATACTATGGATAAAACCTTTGAGTATATAGAACAAAGCCAAGGTCTTGCTAGTGAAGAGGATTACCCATATATGGAACAAGATGGGACTTGTCGTGATGATGGGATGGTCAATCCTGCGGCCAAGATTAGTGGTCACGAAGATGTTCCTCATAATAGCGAGGAAGAGCTTCTCAAGGCAGTGGCTAACCAACCTGTCTCAGTAGCCATTGATGCTGAAGGAAAAGCATTTCGGTTTTACTCTCAAGGAGTTTTCAATGGTGAGTGTGGAACTAGTCTTAACCATGCAGTTACTGCAATTGGCTATGGTGAGGACGACACAAATGGGGCTAAGTACTGGTTGATAAGGAACTCGTGGGGTCAACGTTGGGGCGACGAGGGTTACATGAAGATGCAGAGGGAGGCTGGTACCCCTGAAGGTCTCTGCGGCATTGCCCTCCAAGCTTCTTATCCAACTCTTTAACTATTATATACATATACCATATATATATATATGTCACCATATTTATATATATTTCCTTTATAATAATTATCTATTAAGTACTTATTTTTCATTTCCCTAAGTTAATTTTACTTCATTTTCTATGCATTATCTATCTTATATATGCTCATATTGCTCCCTATGCTTATGTAGTGTTATAAGTTAGTTTATCGATCGTTGAATGGATCGATCCAGTTGTATTAATTTGGAAAAGTATGAATAAAATGTTTATTGCCCTTTCTCCTCTCCTTCTTTTCCAATCTGGCAAATATGCATGAACAAAAGATCAAATCTCGATCTTGAGCATTAATTACACCTTCAAGAATATATATACTCCATTTTTTGTTCCCATTATATATCACGCCTCTTCAAAGAAAGAAACCAAAGTGAAAATGGGGGAAAACTCACTATTGATTCTTAAGCCTTTTGTCTTGCCTATACCACTCACCGATGTAATTAAAGGGATGCTTTGACATTTTTTACATTAAGCAATGCTGCTGTAATTTACTGCAAAATATATAATACACCAAATATTAATTTTCATAAGTCTTTTTGAACGAACTTGTTGGAATAATAATTACTCTTAAATTTATGGTGATAACCATCACCAACAAACCAAGATCCATCATACCAAATCATAAAGGAATATTAACAGAAAGATAGAGACAAACTTGTCTCTATAGCAGCGGTATAACTTCGATCTACATCTTTGGGTTACGTGATCTTCTTCAGTCAAATAGACATAATCTTTATTCTTTAATATGATCTTTTCCTTTGAGGCACACGATATTTCCCAGCCAAATAACCCTAATCATTATTATGGTCCTAAAAGAGTCATTTGCAGAAATCGGAGAGAAGGTCTCTTTATAGTCTATGCCTTCCTTTTGAGTTAAACCTATAGCAACTAGACGTGTCTTACATCTTTCGATGTTGCCCTTTGAATCCCTTTTGGTTTTAAATATCCATTTACAACTAACGTGTTTTGCACCTTTAGTTAACTCGACAAGATCTCAAACGTCATTATCTTTCATAGATTTCATCTCATCTTTCATGGCATTAATACATTTATGAGCAATAGAGCTTTCTAAGACTTGTTGGAAGTTAATTAAATCATCTTCCTTCAAGCCTAAAATATTTTCGTGCTCTTGAAGAAACACAATATATCATCTGGAATTGTGTTTTTCCTTTCTCTAGTTGATCTCCTTAATGACACTTCTTCAGTTTGTTGAGTTTGTTCTTCATATGGAAAAAGAGGTGGTTCATTGTTGTCTTGACCCAAAGCAATGTCAGGGACCAAAGCTTGTTCCATAACAATGTCATGAACAGTTACCTTATCAAGCAGCAACATCGAATAAATGAGAGATCATAATTTTAATAGAATTTTTCTTCCTGATAATTTGTTGCACATTCTTTCCATCTGTATCTTTCTACTCTAATACGATTGATATGACATAGGTTGAGTTTGATTGGAGTGTTCTATGGAAAAGTGTCACCACAAGAACATAGACAATTTATTCTATTATGAGAGATAATTGTCTATGAATTTTTGACACCATAGAGAGGATAAATTGTCTTAAGTATACAATGTCTAACAAAAATAAGAAAATTAAGCTTGGTGCTGAAAAAAGGAAGGCAGTTCAGACACCAACAACAAAAAGTACAGCAACAGCCCAATCTTCTTCTAACCCTCCAGTTCTTGAAAGAGTTTGTTAGCGTCTCTAGGAGCTTGATGCAGGCAGGTTAAAAATCCATGATTGAGCTTAAAGTTGATAAAAATTTAAAGATTTTGAATGCTTGATTATCTGAGTGGTAACTTGGAAGTAATTTATAATCTGATGTGTTTAACATTATTACTGCTTAAGTATAATCAGATTTGATTAAATTAATTCCTAGCTAGTCAATTAAGGATCTAACTTAGTTGATCAGTATTTAAATTAGCTTAAAATTAAATTACATGCCATAAAAAATTGTGATCCCTGATTTGCTAATTCTCTGATAAACCACTGGATTAACAAACCCCTGTGAGGTATAATTGGGCTCAGATTTGGAATCTTAGGAAAATGGGGTGGAAAAAATTATTTTCCCATGTTTGGTTGGAGGAAATATAAAAATATTCCCAGAAATTTTTTTTCCAGCATTTGATTTTACACTACAGATTCCAGAGGAAGAATACCATCTCAACCATGGTATTTTTTTCCCCACATCCTTGGAAAGGAGTTTAACTTCTGTTAGACGAAAATGCTTTGCGGAGGGTACCATTCCAGCAAGTCAATACTGATGAAGAAATTGAATTATTGTTGATCCCCATATATTGCATGGTCTCACCCCAATCAACATTTGGAAAAGAATGGAAGTCTGGGTTATGGGATGAAACTCTAGTTGTGGCGTTGAATACGAAATCTTGTAAACAGAACATAGCAATTGCCTTCATTTCTAAAACTCAAGCACAATGTAGAAATGGTCGAAATGGAAGGATCTGAACCTAGGGAAACCTGCAGAAATGGCTAGCTGCATGAATTGTTCTTCAGTTCTATGCTTTCCCTTAGCTCTGTAGATTGTCGTTGGGAGAAATGAAGCAACAAAGAAACTGACCACGGTGAGAGAGGGAAAAACTTAGGTAAAATGAACGTTGAAAAAAAAGTCAATATTCAAAATCTAGGGTAATTTTATAATTTCGGTTCAAATTCCCAACAATATTTTACAACAAACCAAACATAGCATCAGAAAAATTAACCAAATATTTACAGAAAATTTTTGCCCTACTAAATAACATTTTAGTAACATTCCTGGGAAAACAAAATTTTCACCATATTCCTAGAAAATATGGTTTTCGGGTAAAAAAAAAAATTCTCCTCTACGAAATTCCCTAAATCATTTCCTTTTAACTGCTTATATCTATGTTCTCCGAAGAGTATATAATTAAAATATTAAAGTTATACTTTTTTCTCTCTCTTCAGAAACTATGAAAAAAAAGTACAATTTTAATATTATAACTATAGACTTTCTGAAATACATAATTATAAAGAGATAAAAGGACATATAACTTAGGTCATTAGAGCAAAACATCTTCCCTTTTTGGATTGTCAATTTTTTGTTTAACTAAAATGACGTACGTTCCAATTAGAAAGTTTTATTTTAAGAGCTTATCGGAGAATGAAACTAGTGAAAGCACTTGAATCTTCCTAATTGGATTTCAACACAAATGGCACGCGGAAAAAAGGATATCAGGACAAATGAGACGGCAAATTAATTTAATGAACTGTAAGAGGACTGTGAGAGTCAGACATTCTTGTCATGATGCAGAAAGACCAAATGAAAGCAACAGGACAACTGGGTCAAAATATGCATAAGTTTGCAAATTAAATTGATTGATATTTGTCATTTACACATTTACTTATTCCACAAACAAAGAAAATATTTATATTCTGTTTTATTAAAGAGAAAATATGGTTTTAATATTAACTGAATTCATTATTATTCATTTTTAAATAATTGACTTATATTAAAATCATGTAATGATATTTAATGATTCAAAAGATTAAAATTAAAATTAAAAATACACCACATAAGATAATTAAATATTATTTTTAATCAATAATTGATAATAAGTTATGCCATTTTATTTACAAATTGACATGTAATAAAAAAAAGTTACATATTCAATTGATACATAATTTATAAATTTATAAACTACATTTAATTAATTTTTTTTATTTCAGAATCATCATTTTATTTTGTATGTATCATTTTTTTATAATTTTTTTATTTAATGAATAACTGCTTAATAAATATTATTATATATGTTAATGATAATAAGTAAAGAAGGTAAAAAAAAGTCATATCCTCTCTTCATTAAAAAGAATACGAGTATTATTTTTTCATTAAAATTATTCATTAAAAGTTTAAATGACTAAATTTAATGTATTTAAGATAAAACTAATGAGTGTTTTTGGCTAAAACAAAAGGTCATTCTTGTTAACTTTCACATAAAAGAACAGAAACCAGCAATATATATTTTGTATAAAAGTAGTAGTGCTAATTAAGTACTTCCAAGTATTTTAACATGAGTTTCGTCCAATATAAAGTTTTCCACTCTGATTGAGGGGAAATTAATCGAGTAATAAGCCGTGGGAATTGACATGTTTTTTCTTCCTTGATTGCTTCAAATATTACAATCAAGGACATTTTGTTTTCTTTGTGCAGCAGTGATTTATCATTAAGGGAAAGATATTTATACACAAAAAATTCTATAAACTTTTTAAATTCTTTTTTTTTAAATAACAAAATAAGAAAAGAAAATAATGTCATAATATATTTTTTCTTTTTCCAAGAAAAAAATAAACAGTTGGAATATTCTTAATTAATTGGATTTGAACACAAATTAAATGGTAACCCCAAAAAAGGCAAATAACCCTAATCATTATTTTTTAATGTGTTGTCTCTCTCTTGACGGGAAAGAGAAACTACGATTATTATTTGACATACTTGAAAGAAAAGGGTATTTGAAATATTATTTTTTTTTTGTAAATATTTGAAATATTATTGAATTGTGTATAATCTGTACAAAGGGTTCTCTATTTATAGAGAATACTTGACCTAATTTTGACCTAATGGGCTTGGCCCAATACAACAAATAAATGACTAAATAATAACCTAATAATAACTAAATAATTATTATTTACAACACTCCCCCTCAAGCTGAGGAATAGATATTTATCTTTCCCAGCTTGCTAGTAAGTTATTGAAATCTGTCTGAAGGAAGCCCCTTTGTTAATAGATCAGCTAATTGACGCCCAGTGGGAATGTATGGAGTGGTAATCAACCCGCTATCAAGTTTCTCTTTGATGAAATGGCGGTCGACCTCAATATGTTTAGTCTGATCATGTTGAACTGGATTATGAGCTATACAAATAGCGGACTTATTATCACATAGCAGCTTCATAGGTCCTTCACATTTTATTTTGAGATCATCAAGTACAATTTTCAGCCACGGTAACTCACAAATGCCTTGAGCCATAGCTCGAAATTCAGTTTTGCACTTGATCTGGCAACCACATCTTGTTTCTTACTTCTCCATGTCACCAAGTTACCGCAAAGAAACATACAATAACCAGTGGTAGAACGACGGTCAGTCACGGATCCAGTATAATCAGCATCTGTGTAGACTTCTAAAGATATATTGCCATCACGTCGGAATAACAATCCTTTACCAGGAGTACCTTTAAGATACTGAAGAATT